AAGATTCAGCCAGATAGGATGCTGTTTGTGCCACATTCTACCCATAACATAAATTGCACTTTTAAAAGAATGTTAAATTCATGGAGGTGGTATCAGCAGGTGTAAAGTTGGGGAGATGTAGTTCTTTCTTTCTGCCTAGACACTCAGTAACAATGCAACACATTGTGCCTATTTGAATTCATGAGCATGATGGGTGGATGATTCTTTGACGAAAACTGGATGATCTCTGAAAAAAAACAGGAGAAAAGAAGCAGTTAAGACAGGCTTGTTACAGCCTAAAACAGCTTGAAATGGGATTAGACAAATTCATGGAGAATAGATCTACTAGGGTGCAGTCCTAGTGGGATGCCCATGAACTTGAAGGCTTCTGGGTATCCAGTGCAGAGCAAGAGAAGCAACAAAGAGCAACAGAGGTGATATTTGCTTCCACATTATCCCACTCTGCATTTTTCCTAGATGGGCTTTTTTACCTGCCTACCTTGGGTGTTTCTGAGGGGAAGGAATGAGGCTAGGGCAGCTTTAGGATAGCTCATATCCTGGTTGCTCCCACCTCCTTCCCACCCTGTGAAATGCCACTTCAAATCTTGGAGAAAAGCAGCACAATTTTTTCAGTGCTGCCTGCAGGGATCAGAGCTTCGATTCCCAGGCTGGAACTCTGCCTGTAGTGGGAAATCCAAACTATTCTATAGCCCCTCAAAAATGTTTAGAGGCTATAGCATCATCCCCGGAATGGGGCTTTGAGTCATGATGGCTAAATGGAACCTCCTGTTTCAGTTGCAATACATCGATGAATACCAGATGCTGGGGAAAAGTAGTTGGACAGGACAAATGCATTCATACCTTATTTGTGGCCTTCCATCAATAATTTGATTAGCCAGTACAGGAAACAATGTGGAACCAGATGTCAGGTATGAATTCAGGGGGCAAGCAGTTATCCCCCACCCCAGCAGACTATTTACACACACAGTAGCTGTGAATGAATGAATGAACGAACGAACGAACGAACGAACGAACGAACGAACAGCCTACCATGGGGTTAGTTGCCTCTCCTCCCCAGATCTGGGCTTGCCAAATAGATTCTCTTGCTTCATCCAGCAGGGTTCTTATGTTCAGATGTTCTAATTTGACTTCCCAAGTCTTCCAGTGCAGTGCCAGCACCTTACCATTTAAAATACTGTCTTCATTATTTAAGGATGTTAATGAACCTGTGCTGATGATGCACAGGATCAGTCACATGGGTGTGATCACAACCATTAAAAAGTGTGGTGTCTTAATCAAACTTTTAAAAGCATGTGTTAATACATTCTAGGTTGGTGCCCTGACCTGTACAGTCACTTTTCTAGTTTATCCTGAAGAACATCCCAAAGTTAACATTTAAAGTAATTTCAACTTTGAAAAGTTCCATTCCTCATACACATAGCAATACTTAGAATTTTATCAATACCTTACTAAATGTACAAGTTACCTTCATAGTGAGTAATACTAGAAAAGCAAGCTTTCTGTATACCTGGAAAAGGTGCTTCCACCTGGACCGCAATGTTCAAGTAACTGTTGACTTAACACCTTCAGAACCAAACTTTGCTAATATCTAAAGATGTGTCCGATGGTCAACCACAGGATTTGAAGCTAGAACTAATTTTGTTCGTAAGATGTTCTATCAGTTAGTATTGGAGTGTTTCAGCAAACAGTATTTGGGATTTGCAGAATGAAGATTTAGCACTTCTGGGAATAACCAGGAAAGACCTAAAGCACTCATTTCTGGAATAGGACAGATCAACTGAGCTAACATAAGGGGTCTCCACCTACCATTCCCAATCCAGAAAGGTTTCCATTCATTTTGGGAATTCTTCTGGGAAGCATTAAATCTCCAGTGGCAAATGGGTATGCCATCAATGCATTTGAATGGAAAAGGATGTGCTTGGTATATTCACATAAAGTAGTATTTTGCCTGAGCATAAACCACATGTTTAATTTCAAGTCTGCGCAAAGTGTGACACTCTAGATTTTGTTGGACACAACAACCAGTTAACACAGCCAGTTATCAAGGATGATATGAATTGTGCCCAACAACCCCTGAAGAACATGGGTTCAAACACACATGTTTGCATGTTGTACTTTGCACTTACCATTCTGTTAGCCCTAGCACAGGGCTTCCCAATCTGGTGCCCTACAGATGTTTTGGACCTATGTTTCCCAGCTATCATGGGCAATGGTCACAAATGCTGAGAATTGTCATCCAAAACATCTGTGTTGTAGCTCATTGAATTTACTCCTCTAGATCCTTTGCATGGGTGGGTGCCAACATAAACCTGAACATCTAGGTATATGCTACCTCATATACAAGTCTACAATATATATTATGGTTAATATCTGATAGCGTGTCTGAAAACAGGTGGCATATCTCCTGTGCTGTACAGAACTGAAACAGTGCAATATATCACTAGTAGCATTTTTCAAGACACTCCCAAAATAGTTTTCCATGTGCAATGAATCATATGCAGATTTTATTTTATTTTATTTATTTATTTAGGAGACTTCTATGCCGCCCCATTCACCGCTGTAGTGCATTTATTACTTGATATTATGCAAGATATTCTTTTCTATCCATATGTATGATATCAACACCCACACATACCCTGAGCAAGCTTATTATTCATATATATAATTCTTTAGTACATCAAGATATGCAACCATAAAGCATTTAATACTGCCTGGTGCAAAAGTATTCAAATAACTCTGGTTGCTAGCAGATGACCTGTGAATTAGGGAAAATACGGAAGGTAATTTTCACCAGAACCTTGATGTGGAATTCTGTGGCTAGGTTTGCCATGACATGCTATGCCACCATGGCTTCTAAACCATGTTGTGTTAGCATATCGTCCAAACCTGGCACCCCCCTCCCTTCAACAGGATGGTTCTTTGAGACTACAAAGTCACCACAACAAGTCAGGGGTGTTGTAGGATTTTGTAGCCATGTTTGGACTTGTTGCTTTGTGTGGACCTAGGCAATACAACAAGCCCAGGTGACACTCCGAACCCTACAAAGATACCTGGCATGAGTAGCAGTAAGGTTTTCCCCTTGGGTTCTGTGGTATCAGGACATGCATGCTGTCATCAAGCTGCTCAGAAGTAATCTCTTTCCCATGTCAGGCTGCCACACTGGGCAGAGGACGAGTGGCAAAGCACCGAGTGGTTTATCTCCCTTCCTGGCAGTTCAGTCCCACCCAGCAGCACTTCTGGAGTCTACCATCCTCAGGCCAGGCACACAGCAGACCCCAGCAGCTCTGTCCCATGATCCGCATCCTTGACAGGGGGCTGAATATAGCATACCCCTGCCATGATGGGAGTCAGGCTGGAGACAAGCCATCTGCTGGGCCTCTTTTGAGTTCCTCCTCATAGAAACATAGAAAACAGAGCAAGTCAGAAGGGGCCTCCCGGGCCATCTAGTCTGACCTCTGGCACCAGCCAGCTCCGCTCACGACATGCCCACCATGTGGACATCCAGTCTATCCTTGAACACCCACACCGATGGGGCTTCAATGACCTCTCGTGGAAGCCCATTCCACACCCTCAGGGTCCTGACTGTCAGGAAGTGCTTCCTGGCATCCAAACGAAACCTTGGCTCCCTGAGCTTTGCTCCGTTGGAGCACATTCTGCCTTCCTCTGCAGGGGAGAACAGGTCTCTACCCATCTCCATGTGACATCCCCTCACATACCTGTATGTCGCCAACATATCCCCTCTGAGTCTCCTCTTTTCCAGGCTGAAGAGACCCAGTTCCCTCAGTCTCGCCTCATACGGCATCCCCTGCAAACTGGCCACCAACCTTGTGGCCCTATGCTGCACTGACTCCAACCTGGCTATATCCTTTCTGTAATGAGGGGCCCAAAACTGAACACAATACTCCAGTTGCGGGCGCACTAGAGTCATGTAGAGTGGTAGTAATACCTCTCTTGATCCCTGAGGTCCCTTTCACAAGTGCTGCTCTCCAGCCACTTATCACCTAACCTGTACTTAGTTAGTTTTCGATTTCGATTTATATCCTGCCTTTCTCCTACAAAGAGCTCAAGGCAGCTTACATCTCCTCCTCCATCTTATCCCCACAACAACAACCCTGTGAGGTGGGTTGGGCTGAGAGTCTGTGACTGGCCCAAAGTCACCCAGTTGGCTCCATGGCTGAGTGGGGACTAGAACCCAGATCGTCTGAGTACCAGTCCCTTGCTCTTAACCACTACACCACACTGGCTACTTATGACAGCTATTCCTATGCCCCAAGTGCAAGACCTTGCACTTATCCACATTGAACGCCAACCTGTTGTCTCCTGCCCACTTCCATAGTCTGTCCAGATCCTTTTGGATCTGGAGTACCTGCTCCTCAGTTGTGGCCACTGCTCCAGTTTTAGTGTCGTCTGCGAATTTGATCAGCAGACTGTTCACCCCTTCTTCCATGTCGTTAATGAAAAGATTAAACAGGCTCAGCCCCAGGACAGAGCCCTGGGGGATCCCGCTTGTTGGTCTTATTCAGCATTCCAGACCAGCTGGCATTTCCAAAGAATTTCCAAAGGCCAGAGGTAGCCCCACTGAAAGAGGTAATCAAATCGGATGTAACTAAAGCATGTGTGATGGTGGCCAGATCAGGCACCTGTAGGAACTGGTGCAGTTTGGCACACTAGACTTATTTTCATAAATGTGCTGCTGGCCAGCAGTGAAAGCTGGGCATACTGAAAACATTTGAGGCTCTGATCAGGACTGGAGCATTTCCTTTGCACTGTAGTAACACTTTTACTGGAGACCAAAGTTCAGCCATTTTACATCTTTATTACCCATGCTGTTAGTCCAAAGTTTATGGGCATACGTTTCTGCCAACATCGTTAACAGCAGAGTACCCCATTCTCCAGCAGCCCAAGTGAAGTCTCCATTCCCTGGATTTCTCATTAAAAGAACTGAAGAATCAAGAGGAAATCTTACTTAACTTCAGGAAAACACTTTTCTATCTGACAAGATGCCATCCAGAAGAAAATCCATGATGTTTGCTTCTGCTTTTCTCACCAGCATCTGCTCCTTTGTGATAGTTTGCCTTGTCCTTGCAACCAAAAACTGGATCTCAAGTGAGATTTACTATACTATTCTCAATTCAACTGGGAAGACAACAATTACATATGGACTCTTTGATGGAGTTTGCTCAAGTATGCAGAATGATCTTGATACACCACAATTTTTTTTCCAAGGTAACTGACTGATACTGTGAATGTACAGCTATTGTCGGGAGTAGTTTGGTTTAATGTGATCCCTCTATGAACTTCAAAACCATGATTTTAGCTTTTTTGTATTGTATATGAAAGACAGGAGTAGTAGCAAGAAGTAAAGAATGGTAAAATCATTGGTAAAATGGTAAAATCAAGACTGGTAAAATGGTAATCACAAATACTTTAAAATCAAGCCTTTGCATGATTATTGATGAACTAGGTGCATTAAATTATTCGTATTAGTATTATTTAGTGTTCATGTACTTAGTCCCTCATTGGGCACATAAACAAAAATAATATTAAGAATTATTAAGAATTATAATACTAAGCAGCTGGAA